GACAGGAATCACGTTTTTATTTCTTTTAGATTTAACATCTGACATATTCATAAAATAATTAATAAGTTAACCTTAACAATACGCTATATACTCGTACAAGCGTAGTGGCAGATGAACTAAAACGATACAAATGGTAACCGATTGTTATACGGCCGGGTTGTCTTAATCGAATAAAGTAATAAAGATAATTTCTACACCAGTTCTCAAACTGATATTTTGTTGAGTTTTTGATGTACATTTAATATATATATATATATATAATACAGTATAGTAATAATAATACACGTACGGATATAGTATGTGGTACATCGTACAAAATAATAATATAATACAAGTATAAACAAAATTATATCAATCTATCGCCGAAATGATCATATGCCGAAACGACCATCGTCATATATCGACATATCGCCGAAACATCGGCGCCGAAATGTTCGCGCCGAATTGTCCCTTTCCAATCAAAATATACGAACTCTCGAGGTTTAGGACAAGAGTGACCGACCCAAAATAGGGAGAAAAGTGAAGTAGATACGAACGGCATGATTCATATTTGTCTGTAATAGAATTAAACTTCTAAAAGTGGAAAAATATTAACAAAAACCTTCAAGTATATAACATTTTCATTGTATATCTTTGTGATTCTATTGTAAAAGTAAATAATAGCCATTATGGGCACGTGTACAAAAATAAGTTTAATATACATTTTTACCAGATGAATGAAACGATAATTTCTGTTTTGATTTTCCGCAGATGTTATTGGTTATTTTTTAATTACGAAAGGTGATATTTTTACAGTCACATTACCAAACACTTTCTTTTTAAACTATGACAATAAATTAAGCCATTAAAACAATGTCTTTGTTTACAGACCATTTGTTTTAATACAATCTGATACACACATGAAAAACAATACGCGTTTAACCATAAAACTTATACGACTGTATATATATAACTGTCTAGATTGTTTTCAAACCTAATAATATATTTTATTTCTAACCCGTAGTATTTTTGGTGTTATCTCAAACGAGAATCCCGAAAGATCTCTAGTAGGCTATGTTGAACAATCGCTTGATGGGGAATGGGGATAAATAACGATAGGCATTTCTGTTCATTTTACCGTGTTGATTACAATACACAATAACTCTGATCATAAATTGTTGGACGCCTGTGAAATTTATTACAAAAAACTAGCCAAGGCTAGAGGACTTCTTATAACGCGGATATAATTTAAATATAACAACTTAATTGTATTCGTATGCGTTTGATTATGTGTGTTTACACAAATGTTACCTATTGATAAATATATATTAAACAAAACTCTAGGCAATTATGTTCACTATAAAAATGTATGTTCTTAACCTACCAAGTTGAACTCTAACGTGTTTCCCTATACATAGAGCAACAATGTTTACGGGATGACCAGTATTAGGCATCTGTTGCAATGCAAAATTCCTCACATTTAGTATAATATAATAATGTAATAAACATATTTGTCTTGTGGTCATTATTGAACATTATTAATTTAACTCGAAAAACTTGTTTTTGTTCTGAAATACAAATCATCTATTTAATTATGAATGTTATAATCAAAACAATAAAAATGGTCTGTTTATTTAATTTAAAACTATTAGAAAACCTGAACTGGGTGCAATAATCTTTTACTAACTGCCGAGTATAACGAATTTGAAAACAGTGAATTTAAATGATGTTGCTGGGGTATTTACGATAATGCAGTGGTTGTCAATCGTAACCCTAGAAATAAAAATCAAAGAAAACGTAATGATGTTGGAAAAAAAATTAAATTTAATATAAACATCATTTAAGTGTATAAGGAAAAGACTTTAAGTATTTCAAAGTATTTCATTTAAGTAAATACGTATTCGCAATTAATATTGGGGTAACGGTTATTTATTTCAAGTTGCAACGATGTTCACATCCGAAGAAACGGTAATATATTATGCGTTTGTAGTGTCGGACCCATGAAGTTGCTCTAGAAATTGTTTTTTTCGTACCGGGATTTAAAATCCATCGATTCTCGTGCACGTGCACGCATATTTTTATAATGCATTGGATTATGATTGTTTCCGGTTCGATATAACAGGATATTCGTTGAAATTATCAACTTAACTTCTTAGTTTGTACCACTAATTTATTGTTCTCGGTTATTCGACTGTTTTTTCTCCTTCCCTCCACCCACCCGTTCGTAATATAAATGTCGTAAACATTGGACACCGAATTGTATTATACACTTACGGCGCGAAGGGGAAATATCAAGTCACTTAAGATTTAAGGCACTTCTGCATTGATTATTAATATTTTTTATTATTATTATAGCTATTATCGTTATTCCTACACTTATTTTATTCCGGAACGGTGGTGGACGATATGATTTTTGATGAAATAATTATGTTGGTACAGCACTCGATGAAACATATTACCAGTTCGAACACTGTTTTGGAACAGCAACGTAACTCTGAACCGTTTAATATCCGCAGTGGCTCTACCATGTGCAGTACCACGCAGACGCAACGTCGGATATTGCGCGTGCACTTGTGTACTATGTTCTAAAACGATTTCGACGACGGACGACAAACGGACCATCCGTGTTTTCCTCGCCTCGGGTGCGTCACGTTACGGCCAATGCCGTTACGATGATATACGTATACGCACGCCCTCGTCGCGTCGTCGTCGGTCGCCGCATTGTCTCCGTTATATTACTACCACCTCAAATCTTCGGCGTCGACAAAAGGGTCGAGGGCAAGTACCTATATACGCACCGGTAATGCCACTCGGAAACCTTTACTACGCCCGATTTACTTCTAATCGACTCAGGCCAAGGCGGACCCATGTAGTGGGTACAAAGTTCCCAAAACGCCCGGGAGACAATATTCGGGTTTTGTCGTTGTCGTCTACTATACTCTGGCTGCGTTTCCGAGAATTCGTGGCTTTGTAAATTATTATCGTCGCAATAATTATTACCATACTGTAATTAATGTTTGGAAATGGAGTGAAAATGACTCCGCGTAGGTCAACGTCTCTCGCGGATTGATTGTTTCGACGGTGTTTTGTGATCGTTTTTAATAATCTCGTACAAGCATGAAACACGAGCAGCCTCAGACTTTTTTTTTAAAGGAGGTAACAAAATATTATAATCAAAATTCTATCACATTTCGTCGTTGCATTTTCTTTCTCAATTTTAACAGTGAATACTACCCCGTTTACCATTATCGTTTCGTACTCAGCTACCTCAATCGGTAAAACATTGAACTCCATTGCTATTACGAGGGCTATTCAGAAACTAGGGAACGTTTTGTAATAAAACAAAAACTAGGTACAGAAAAATATTTTATTATATTCATCTGAAAGAGTGACTAAAATGCTATTTTTCTACATAGTCACCAAACAAATTAAGGCACTTATCGTAGAGGTGGACAAGCTTCGAAATTCCTTCGTCATAGAAATCCGCCGCCTGCGATCTCAGCCACTGAGTGACGCACGCCCGGAGCTCGTCGTTGTCATCAAAACGCTGTGTCGCTAGCCAGTTCTTCATCTTCGGGAACAAGTGAAAATCACTCGGTGCTAGGTCGGCACTGTAGGGTCTGATCAGTACTGCCAAACATTGCGCAAGCTTAGAAGAGCAGTGCAAAACAAGCGCCGAGGAAAGTTATCGTCAAAAATTTTGTTTTTTTCATGACAATGCCCGACCTCACACGGCAAATCGAACTGCAGAACTTCTTGACTCATTCAAATGGGAGATTTTCCCACATCCACCCTATAGTCCCGACCTAGCACCGAGTGATTTTCACTTGTTCCCGAAGATGAAGAACTGGCTAGCGACACAGCGTTTTGATGACGACGACGAGCTCCGGGCGTGCGTCACTCAGTGGCTGAGATCGCAGGCGGCGGATTTCTATGACGAAGGAATTTCGAAGCTTGTCCACCGCTATGATAAGTGCCTTAATTTGTTTGGTGACTATGTAGAAAAGTAGCATTTTAGTCACTCTTTCAGATGTATATAATAAAATATTTTTCCTGTACCTAGTTTTTGTTTTATTACAAAACGTTCCCTAGTTTCTGAATAGCCCTCGTATTAAGATCTCTTAGGACAAGTGGATGGATTTTATTCAAATGAAACATATGAAACATATGAAACAAATAAACATTTTATTTCAACATCTATATGTTTAATTACAATTTTACTATAGAAATTTGTGTATAATATACACTTTACATACATTATGCATATAAAAAAAAAAAAATTAACAATAGGGAACACCGTTGCCGTCGTGTAATTATTATCGAAATCTATTTCTTTAATATCGTTTTATAGTATTGTGTCCCTAAAACGTTTTACTAACGTCCTCGGTTCGGTTATCGATATTTGGTTTTATTAAAACCGCAAAGTATATACGATTATATAATTTTAAATTTATAAACATTCGTTTTCTTATTACATTATATTATAATGTCGATAAAAACGAATTGCAGTTTTATGAGATTCAATACATGTCTGATATTTTAAATGTATATTGGTATGTTTGTTCTTGGATCAAACAATTTTACGTTATTTTTATGTGCTGTACGCCATACGTCGAAAGTCGTGATTTAAATCTTCGACAAAACTTAATCAAAACATGATTTCCTCAATGGCCTATCTAGTTTTTTATTTAAAAATAAAAATTGGGTCCAATCGCATTTTTCGACGAACTGGGATACGAAAGTAAAAAATTATTCTCCTGAGGTAATTCAATATACTCCGAAAGATGAATTGTTTTATATTCCTATACCTTCGGGCTATTTAGATGCAAAAAATATAAGTAATAACATTTCTTTGAGATACATTTTTAAATTGTTCTCTAATAACAACGATTTCATCTTTCCGTGTATTACACTAGGCTTACCCCTTAAGTGAAATTGTATATTATACTCATGGTTGTTTTTGTTTATTCGTTTGCATAATATAGAATACTAATTTGTATTATGTATATTTTATTTTTCAGTGCGTAATGGTTACTCGTGTGTGCCTGTAGCTCTGGCAGACGGTTTGGACATAAAACTAAACACTGCTGTACAACGAATTACTTATGGACTAAATGGTGTTGAAGTTTCTACTTCTAATCCTCGAACAAATACAACCGGACAAGTGTATGAAGGTAATATTTTACACAATACTATACCTATAAGTGAATTGTTTCTAGTGAAATTGAAATACAAATATGTTTATATATATATATATATATATATATATATTATATAATATGTGACATATAAATATATTTTATTGAATAATTAAAATGTTATAACCTCTCTGATCGTGAAATTAAATAATTTATATAAAACTAAAAAAAAAAAAAAACAAATACAATACATTTATTTGTTTCATAATATTATTTGTTCTTTATATTTTCAGTCCATACCGAAATCGTTTGATTGTAATAATTGTAAATATTAGTTTTTGAAAGTTTAGTATACATACTTTATAATTTTTAGTTCCACGTAAACGCGTGTAACCAAATATCGAATAAATAAATATTAAACCTGTGAACGGGTTGTTTGATATTTATCTTCTGTACTGCTGTTGCAATATTATTGTTCGATTTGTGTTTGAATTTCAAATTAAAACCTCGAGGGTTTCAAAAGAAAACCAAAACAAACATTGGATGGATATTCAATGTATTATACCGTATTAATTTGTTTTTGGATTGATTCAAAGCGAAAAAAAAAATCAAATTCACCGAATTATCAACCCTCATATGTTTCCCACTATCCCTTGTGGTCAAATATACGTTTTGTCAGCCGTTTATTGTTTGTAATTCATTTCAGTTCCTTTTTTTTCAAACGAATTTTCATCGTACACATTAAACAATCATTAATCATCGGCTGCACAAACCGCCTCTATCGAATGCCTTATTATCAAATATACTGGCGGCTACGGATGTGAGGTTTATATTAAAAAAAGGGTGTACGTGAATATGTTTTAATTTAAAAAATAAAGGTTTCAATTATATACATTTAAACGTATAAGCGAGCACCATTCATTTTATTTCATTGCCTATAAAACTAAATTTTTCACTTTAGATTGTTCTCATTATTTTTACCAATGTTTTCATACGCGTTATACAGCCTTATTTTATAATATATATATTAATAGTTTATATATATAGAAATAAATACATAAATAAATACTCAACTAGAAGTATTATTGTATTTCTAATGTATGACTGGTTTCGAATTAAAAAGTCTTCTTCAGGTATATACAAAGTCAATAAAATTGAGACTTATGAAACCAGTCATACATTATAAATATAATAATACTCCAAGCTAAGCATTTATTTATTTATTTATTTCTACTTATAAATTATTTATTTATATATTAATTTAAGAGTATTAACCATTTACTAAATTCTATTTTATTTTTATAATTTTATTATTTACTATAATAAAATGTTTAAATCCATTGATGACCTATAAGAGCTTAACACATTTAGTTATCCGTGAGATTTATTTTAATTTTACTAATTATATATAATTATAATTACACGAAAAAAAAAAAGGAACCTATTAATTTAGGCTTGAAAACTTAAAATGATCAAGAACATTTTTAAAACATTTTAAATTGTGTTCTTGTGCATAATTTCCTATCATATTATTTAAAACTTGATAAATTACTTTTTTATCCACTGTGAATACATTACATATGTATATTAATATAGCATATCTACTATTAATTTTATGTAAACCATATTTTTAAAATAATTTTAAAAAATAGTCTTTTTTTCTACTTCCTTAACACATTAATAATTATTATTCATATTTATAGCTTTTGTATTTATTAAAAAAAAAAATTGTTTATTACGTTCATTATTTTGCCATAACCTAGTTTCAATCGGTAAAAACTACTCGTATTTATTCTCAATATCAATCAATATCTACAACACTAAACTGCAGCCGTTGTATTATTATAACATATTAGTGTTATAAACTATTCTGGACAACTAGGGAATAATATTTCAGATGAAAAACTCTACACAAAATATTATTTACATTCATTATTGTTAATCGCACTGAAATTTTAATAGTTATGATTCTGATATTGTATCTCTTGAGTATATATCCCGCAGAATGTTTATGCTTGGATGTAAGTTTTGCTCTGTATATATATTTTATTGAACAGAAAAATCGTTCGAACCCGGTATCAATCAGTACCTACCACCTATATTATGAACTGTAATGAAAAGTTGAAAATTTAATATCTTAAATGGAAAAACAAAATCTGTATGATAAATCCTTTATGAACGCTCTACGTAAAGAAACTCATCGGTTCTAATACATATATAAGCTTAGTGCATGTTAATACACATGCATGAAAGAGACTTACGTTTTATAAGGTCAACCATTTAGCTTTGAAATAAAAAATTTTTAGTATAGTGCAATATAGTAAACCGCAGAGTGTATTTTAATATTGTAGTTTGTATATGATTAATTAGGGTAAAAAACGATTGCGTACGTTCGTTATCGGCGATACCTTTTAAAGGTACACGATTCTGTATGATTTCACCTGATTCTTAACTACACGATTGCGTACAAAGTTTTAAAGGTTGATGCCAATTTTCATACCGGTATTGGTGTATATCACATGCCTATACGAGAGAACTTAAAAATGTTAATAAATATTTTGTGTTTTATTGCTTTTATAACCCATGTTTATTGTTAATGATATCAAATATATCAGATATAACGAAATTTCGTAATTTCCATTATATTATATTATAGATCTCAAGGAATTCAAATTTAAGCATTTTCAAATAATTTATTAATAATAATTTCATTCAAATAAAAACTGTCGATTTTATTTATTTATTAATTATTATTCTTTTATTTAGTTATCCTCATTTTATTTATTATTTTATTAATATTTATATTCTATACGATATAATACGGTGAAATTAGTAAATTTGACTACGTTGCATACAATTCCATTCGCAATGGTTTTTATTTATTTTTCTTATCTACCTTTTTGTTACCCGTCCACAAATGTACGCAATCGTGTTGCCAAAAAGGACAAATGTACAAAATCATATTCTATCCGATTGGTTAATGCACCAACAATATTGAATGTAAACTATTTTTTTAGATAAAATTCATTAATTGACCCAAAACGTATATTTTTATATAAAATTTGATAAGCGCAAGAAACATAAACAAAATATGTGAAATATGTAGGATTTCTTCGAGTAAATAAATCTTTTTTGTTAAGAATAATTTCGTCAAGTTTTAAGTACAAGATTATTTCTATTTTCATTCTAAGTGTTTAGTCTTATGAATATTTGATTCGTACATATATTTATATATATTACATCGAACTTTGCTTAGTCTCATCCGTCTACGGCTGCATCAAAACCATTAGTTTGAAATGTTTACGAACATTTTAGCTCCATTAGGCCACCGCTTACTTTTTTTTTGTCTCTGAGACCCGACCCAACGTTGATATCGTAACGTTTCTCTTCGGCGGAACGTTGCGATTTGCTGTTTCGATCGGTCCCACGATAATAACAGTAACACTATTGTCACCCGCAGTGATACAATATCGATCGATGGTGCACGTAGCGCGCGCGGGATTTTATCGTGGCGAGTTACGACCCCTTAACCCCCTGCGTGTGCCACCGATAACAAGTGGTATTCTACGCATACGTCGTGGTCAGACCCAATCGTTGACGGGGAATAATCGGCGCGATCTTTTTTCGGTTTGCAGGTGACGTAGTTCTGTGCACGCTGCCGCTGGGCGTACTAAAGCAGTCCACCAACCCGAAGACGGAGTCGTTGCCGAACACTGTGCAGTTTTCACCGCCGTTGCCGGACTGGAAGGTGGCGGCCATCGAGCGACTGGGCTTCGGCAACCTGAACAAGGTGGTGTTGTGCTTCGACCGCATTTTCTGGGATCCCAACGGCAACCTATTCGGCCACATCGGCACCACCACCGCCAGCCGCGGCGAGCTATTCCTATTCTGGAACCTTTATCGCGCGCCTGTGCTGCTAGCACTGGTTGCCGGAGAGGCTGCTAGTGTCATGGAAGAGGTGTCCGATGACATAATAATCGCCCGTTGCATGTTGGTGCTGAGAGGAATATTCGGCACGGCCAACGTTCCGGATGTAAGTATGCTCCCTGACTGGGCACGAACGCAGGGTTGGTTTAAACCTCTCCCCCCCTCGAAATATCAGAAAAAAATTGTATGGAAAAAAATTACCTAACTAACAAATAGTTATTTCAAAGTTTTCCGTGAGACTTACAAATAATTAATAAATAATAAATGAATATATATTATGTAATGATTGTTTATCAACATTTTATAATTTACATTTTTTCAAGCACCCCTTCCCTTGAAATGTTTTCCTGCGTTCGCTCCTGATCCGGACCTACGTCATTAATTAGTATAATAATAATAATAATAATAATAATAATAATAATATACCGAACACTGATAACCATGACTGAACATATTTAATATTATCTAACCAATAGCCCAACGCTGTAGATTATCTGAAAAAAAAATTATAATTTTATTCCACTTCAATTAGTTGGTCATCTTAATATGAATGTTAATTGATTTTTTTTTATGTATTTAAAGTAAATATATTTATATAATAATTTATACTATATTAGAAACTCGGTATTATTGAATTTGTCCCAAAGTAAAAATATTCTGTAGGTACATAAATAAACTGATTCGACTAATAGACAATTGAACATTTTAACTCTTAACCATGCGATTGCGGTTCAATACGATTTTAATCGTCATTAATTACGTAAATACAATACACTGCAATGTTACAGTGTTCTGGTTATAAAAATATAACAGTTCCGTCCCGTTTCCTTTCGTGTTGTATTTGGACCGTTCCGGGTGTAGGTTAAAGTATAAATTACCATGACTTGTGTTCTAACCAAAAAAAAAAAAAAATAACTACACCTCTTCAATAATCGTTAGACACTGGAGATTATTAACATAACGTTGTACTGATGACTTTTACACTTAAGGTTTTGGAACGTTTACTTGAATCGAAAATCGTGGTTAATTTTCGCCCCTCCCTTCATCTCATCCTACGGAATTAACGATAAGTATCGGCCGTTTACCGCCCCTTTGATGCGGAGCACGTACGACAACCCGACGTCATCCCGAATTATTACACGATACGAATCTAACGCGAGCAACGGAATATTGTTTTTGTGTCCCTCACTGGGACGGTTTCATCACGAAGCGTTATGCCGCGTTCATTACGAACGACGTTCGCGAACTTCGCACTGCGTATCGGTAAAATTTTGCCGCGAACTATTTTCAATGTCAGGAATTCATACGCACGAATGTATAATTTAATATCCGGGAGCGCTTTTGTTCGGAAACTATTCGCATGAGGACGGAGAAAAAAGTACATTTTACCCGGCGAATCGTACGCTGAAAACTCACCCGTCTTCATTGTTCGTACACCGTGATGTGTGATCCTTCAGTCTGCTTTAACTATAGGTAAATGTGTTTTCAAATATTTCGTCACAATTAAATTAATAATCATACATAACACACACATACACATACCATGTAGCACTGCATTTCAGATTCTCAAGCTCTCCCTTATTTATTATTCGCCTCAAAGAGCACATTCAACCTCGATTTTAGTGACAAGGATTCACGATTCTTCCCTAGATCTTTTTTTATCATAACTTATTATTTTTATTCCGTCTCTTATTTTCATACATTGGCCTTTCCAGATATATCTTTATACTACGGAATCTAATCAATTACCGTTATATCAATTTTGGCCACACCCTTTCATTTCCCTTTTAACTGTATCTATATTAATTTATTTTTTTTCTGCTCGTTATTATATCAATTTTATTGTTTTTATAACATTTTTTTTTTTCAATAATATTTTTAATGTTAAAATTTAACGTTTCGTTCAATTCAGTTTTGTGAACGGAAACAGAAGCTTAATCGCCTCAGTGTATACATTTTTCAATAACACTTTTATTGAATTACGTATTTTATAAAAAATAATACGTTTATTAATTTCGAAGTAAATTCTAATTCCCAAGATCTCGTATATTCTTAATTTGTCATCGCTTATTTTTATTATACTTATGTTCATTTGAAAAATATTTTAAAATAATTAAAATTTGAATAGGTCGTTACATTTATCGTTACTATTTCAATTACTTTCTTGCACAGTAATATTAGTTGTAAGAATTTTATTTTATTTTTAATACTCCGTTTAGTATTCCAAAACATAATTCTTTCCTTCTCAATTTATGAACAATAATAACCATCATCGTTTTTTTGAAAATTGTAATTTCTGTTATTTAAATTGGGCTGTATGTAAACTGCGGCAAAAAAAAAAATTAAGATTATACAATCTGTAACAAAATCGATAAGATACATTATACAAACTCTGGCAACTTATTTTATATACATACCTTCTTTATACATTATTTATTATAGTACTTAAATCATATACACCTACCTATGTGTACCTATGTACGTATATCATTTAATTAATTATGAAATGTTGCGTCTTGCGTACAAAGTGGTAAAATAAATCCAAATGTACTTTTAAGTTTTAACGAAATATATTAGTAGTATCGGTTCCTTTCCTTTTAAAAATACTAGTTATTACCTACTTACAAGTGTTAGAGATCAGTAGAAAAAAAGTTAAATATTAATTCAACATCATGAAACTTACAACAATGTTTAGCCAGAATGGCAAGGAATTAACAGTGTAAAAAAATTTTAAATTCAATTTTAAATATGAATCCAAAATAAATGGTAATCAAACATGGAAATGCACTAAAAAAAACATGCAAGACAAAATTGGTTTTCACAATGAAAAAACTTTATTACAAGAAAAATCAGTTTTAGATCATAGTCATGAATCAAAATCTACAATTTAACATCAAACAGTGAGTAATAACATCAAGCAAAATATATATATATATATATATATATATATATATATATATATGGTATGTATAGAAGATATATAATAAATTGCTGCAGTTTGTATAATATATCTTATCGAATTTGTCGCAGATTGTATAATATTAATTTTTAGACTTTTAGAAAAAGATTAATTTTACCGCAGTTTACCATTTTCCTTAAATTCGTATTTTGTTGACACGTGGCTGGACAGGTAATTAATTTTATCTCGAAAATGAATGAAATAATTTATTAACAGTTGATAGGATTCGGTATTCAAATTCCGTTTTTCGTGCCTGTGATATGAACTTATAAATATACAGCCATGAACATAATAATAATAGTTATAATTATACCGTATAATAGTTGGAACTATATTTAACAAACTTGATGGTAATTCAAAAAAAAAAAACGATAAATAGAAGTATCGTTAAGATGAAAATCAATTTTTTTCATATTAAAACTCGTTTTAACTGTTTTAAATTTCGTAAATAATATACTTGATATATCCACTGGTGGACTTAGGAGGAGGAAGACAATAATTCATCTCAGGGTGTAACATTTTTGAGGGTGTTATTTTTATAGTTTATATAGGTACTTCATTATTGACTATCGGTCTGATAGTTTTAAATATATAGCTGATAATGTGTTTAAAACTCAATAAGTATGATTGTATTCTAATTATTAAAAGAAAATTATAGAGGAGAGTATATGATTCTTGATCTACGATAGAACATATTTTTTTAAATTTTCCCCGGGTGTAAAAGTTCCTAGTTCCGCCTCTGAATATATCTTCCAATGATAATTTTAAAAAATAACACTAATATTTTTATATAATATAGTGCATATTATATTTAATAAATATTTTTTATCATTTTTTTTTTTTTTTTTTTTTTTTTGTTGAAAAACTGTCTAATTCCTGTCAAAAATTCTGTAACTTTGTTTCGCTTTACTTTCGTGAATTATGGAACACGAATATTATTTTGCAATTGCAACATAAAAAAAATAGCATAAAACGGATTCGTTCGATGGAAACATGTTTTGATTAAACATTTTCACGGTTCCTTAAAAAAAAAAAAAAAACCACAAATTCGTTACGTAGAGATTTTCGCTGTTTAATAAAAGTTCTTAGTTAAGTTATTATTATTATTATTATTATGTACATGTAATACGGTGCGTAACGTTTCCCGTTCGTTTTCAGCCCAAAGAAACCGTCGTCACCCGCTGGAGAGCCGACCCTTGGGCCAGGGGCTCTTACTCGTTCGTGGCAGTCGGTGCCTCGGGCTCCGATTACGACTTGCTGGCTGCTCCGGTGTCGTGCAATAGGACCGAAGAGCCGAACACGACCGCAAACCCGACGGATGGAAGCGAACGACTCTATTTCGCCGGTAAGACTTTTGAAAACGAGAAACGCGAACTGCACTGCCCACCCCACCCACCGCGGTCTGACCTAATCGTACGAATGCACGTGTTAACGTATCGTTGCAATCAACACCTCGAGTAGCTGTCGCAGAGCAGGAACCTAACGAGATTTTTCTTCTTTTTTTTCGCCTAAAATTAGGTCGATGGCCGTCTAATTACAAGCGTCTGTTGCCGAGCCGACCAGTAACGGTAACGGAACGCGAACGCGCTTGTGCACGGCTATCGTTTCTACACGAACTGCGACCTACACGATTCGTACCGTACGTTGCTAGAGACCAGAGGTGGGTTTTATCACTCACCAAGGGCGGGAGGTTCAAGAATTTAGTTGGTTGTTTTTTTTTAAATCTATGTACAATTTTAAATTACAGAATATGTTTTTAAGCCCCTCACGAGTGAGTCATTTTTTTCACAACAGTGACAAATTTTAAATAGTTACATTATCGGTATTGATTGTAATCTAAAACCATTTAAAAAATATAGGTATACTCATATAATTAACAATGAAAATGAGTTACTTGTTTTTAAAAAAATATATTTATAAAATAGGTACCACATCCATCAATGACGATTGACGATATATCATAATAATTATTAATATATCGATATATCACAATACATTTGACTTTGTAAAATATTTAGCTTATTCTCAAAGGGGGGGGGGGAGCTAATACCCCCTAAAACACTTTCTTAAACCAGCCTCTGCTAGAAACCCTTAGGAAATCGACGGCTCTCGCCGGCTGTGTTACGTTTGTGATAAACATTTTAAAATTGTCGATGTTCAATGCTTTAAATGATCACTTTTACTGTTTGAATTTATTTCACGTGCATTCAATAGAATTATTCATCTGGCCTCGTTTTAAAACAACATTGTCGAAGATGACAATATTATTACGATAAATATATATATTATATGTATCATATTCAGGGACGTATCCAGACGAAGATAACGGGGGGGGGGGTTTAACGGACACACATGATATAGATAAAATTAAAAATATTAATTTTGATAGAGGTTGTTTATTAAAATAAAAAAAGTCTTAAAAAAAAATATAGAAATAATAATAATAATAATTTTTTTTTTTAGTTATACCAATATATGTCATAACAATAGAGTTTATAATTTGTTGATTATGGAGGTATCGAACGACTTTTACATTGGTCGTTATCAGTTATCACGTTTCGGAAACACCGAAAAACACAAAATTTGGTTATGAATATTTAACATCATATTAGTAGTATATAACTGTAATATCAGAATTTCTCCAAATAATAAATATAAGTGAAAACATAGTACCAGCATAAGTTTGGTATAAAAAAATAGATTAAGATTTCCCTATTTACTCTTGAAGTAATTACGTCAAAAACAAAAGTCTGCTACGGTGAACGGGGGGGGAAGGGCGAATGCCCCATTCGCCTCTTCTGGATCCGCCCCTGATCATATTTATTATTATCAACTGACTATACACCTCTAAACGTAATTTGGATTTGAATTTTGAGAATTCATAATTTAATTAATTGAACTTGAAATTGACTGGAAATATGTTTATTATAAAAAAAAACAGATTAATTATAGTTAAAATGTTTCAATGTTGCATTTTTGCCGATCTACCTAACCCTAAAAACAAAATAGAAATGTTAGACAGTTTAATAAAATAATTATAAATAACTAAAAAAAGTTGTTTTTGTGTTTTTTCTTCTTCTTATTCAACGATGTACATCGGAACATTCTTTCATGTATTCCAAATGGGCAATTTATATAATATTTTCAAATTAATTAAAAAATTAAAAAAATTAAAAAAAATTAAAACATGGAAAATTGATAAATGTATAATGTCTTTACAAACGTAATTCGGCCAATGAGAACCAATGAATGGCATACTTGTACGCCGCCGAGGCCCGGTCATAAATCCAATTCTTTGACCGATTATGCGCGGTGACTCGTCGACCCGTCAACCGTCGATTACTCATCCGTCCAAAGAAGTTGTCAAGTCGATTTACGACCGTGACGGGCTTATACGTGTGGCACGAACAGTCCAGGGGTGTCTTTTTGGATTTCCATACGTTTCTTGGTTGAAATTAATTTCAATTCCAAATCACTACCTAAATCACCTAAATGACAAATGTACACGTTAACGTCGTGCGTACTCTTTTTTGTGCCGTCCCATATATAGACATAAAACATTTTAATTTATTCAATTTTTTTTTTTTTTTAATACATTACGTTATGTAACGATATTGTGTAGAGGGTGATAAGCAGACAAAGATGTTACGTTTTGTGATACCTGTCGGCTGTCGACTACGTTTTTATGCTTTTTTTTCATTCTCTTTTTAGGAGAGCATACCATTCGTAATTACCCGGCCACAGTGCACGGCGCTTTTCTCAGTGGACTTCGCGAGGGTGGAAGAATCGCCGACAAGTTTTTGGGCTGTCCGTATGCAGCGCCCACTTCAAAATAATCTCTACACTCGGAGCTACACTTATTATGATTTTTTTTCTTTTTTATACTTCCCACTAATGCATGTTTTTATTTTATTTTATTTTTTTTTTTTTCACGTAACTTATAATAGTTTAATTTTGATATTTGTATTGGATTCCATTAATTTAATGATAAGATTATGGCATTTTTTCCTTTTCAAAATCTAATCATTGTACAGTAAAATTATAAACTAACTTAATTTCATTATCGAAAAAGTTTTTACTCCAAAACGGCCAAAACCGTCTTTCAGCTATTATTTTCTTAGAGTTTGCCCACATTTATATTATTAAATATTATAATAGTACACCTACACCGAAAGATATTTTTAATCTATTCAATGATACTTGCAATTTAAATCGTTTATATTATTATCTGTGCGTGCTAAAGATTTTTGCGAGTTTCATCTAATGTTATTAGCAAATATATGTTGTTGTCTAATAAATCAACCCAACAGCGTTCATTTTGGAGTAACTGTCACCGTAAGAGTTCAAATGAAAACTGATACAAATCAATAACTCTAACATTATTCAAAATTGTCATACGTCTTTTAGAACGTAAGTTTATTCTGTTATTATTATTATTATTTTTTTTTATCATCTCTTAGTATTAATTTTATTAATTTTATCGATTATATAATTTTTTTTTTGCATTTTCCATTCACTTTTTTATTTTTAATGATTTGAATTTTGTCTAACACTTGTGCGCATTTTTTGATAAAATAAAGTATTAACACAACATAATGTTATTATTATTGCCGACGCACACTTTATACGGTTCGCGCGCAGAGCTACCTATTGTTTTTTAACGGTTCGCCGTGATAGCCGTGCGTCGAACGTACAGATAGCGCTAGACGTTGACCACGCAAAGAATATCCGTCGAACCCTCGTTTAGTATGGCGTTTGACAGTTTCCTTTTTTCCATTCGACCGTTCGTACGGCAGCAGATAAATAACGAGTACAAGGTGTTCGACTTTTGACCGCGGCGGAAATCGTCTCAGCCAACGAACCGGAAGAAATACAACTCGGACCGGAGTCCAAACGCGTTTCGTTATGAGCGACACACGTTTCCGAGGTTTGACCACGGATCTCAACTCCGTGCGAAAGAAAATCCGTTTCTCCTCTCCAATATTCTTCTCGTGTGTTCAGCCTCTCGATCACAATCCTAGCCGAAAACATAATCGGTTCTTTCCCCGGAAACCCTTGTGGCGGTTAGGTTGAACACCAGTTGGGTTGAAAACATTGTTCTACCGTGCTGCGCGACCGCGCACGCGATTGTTTATTGTTTCGCGGTGCTACACGCGCGTACACGGATCTATAGATGTACAGCGGCGGCGCCGAGAGCCCTATAATTAACGGCTAGGCCGTTTGCCCGACAACGGCTGCGCGGGGACGAGCTAATATTATAATATACTGTTTTGTGCACCTATTCGCCGTGCGCTGTTTCGTACCGTTTCGTTCTATTTCTGTATCCTGTACGTAATTTATTAATGATTGTTGTTCGCGTTACTAACTAGGCAGGTAATTAAAAAAACGAACTGCGCGGTAGTAATGAACTACCTGTTCCATGCGCTTATCTTGTTCGGCGTTCACGTAATTACTTCGATTGCATTTTAATATAAGTTTTTTTTTTGTAATATAAACGTAATTATCCAAGATAATTCGCTTAATAGGCATTGTTCGGTGAGACGAGACAATGACCGACTGACGGCCACGGTGGTTTGACAGGACTATCCCACGATTTCGGTAAAACTTCTAGTATTTTTTTTTCTTACGCATGCGACGTAGCTCCTTTACCGCGATAATCAGCTCAGAGGACGTTACAACATCCTTGCGCGTACGATCAGTAGTAAACTATGGTGGTGTCTGTGTGAGTGTGGAAACAGGGTTTGTGGTAACGGGTCAAAAATCGTCGACCTTCCAAACTCGAAGAAGGTAATTTTAAACGATTGAATTCCGATTGAATCGCGCACGCTTTCAATTCATTTCTAATGCAATCGAGTTCACTGTTCGCGTTGTAAGTTCACTCGGAACGAATAATGCATACATTATTGCACGGAAATTGTGCTGCAACACGAGCGCGAAAATTATCCACGCCAGCACAACGATTCCATGCCGGTGGACGCTTTTTGGCTTGTACAGTAGTACCAGGTATCACGGCTATGACGTGAGTAGATTTGCGTCGTTGTGTGAGACGCGACCGAGGCAAAAATATTTTTTCACGCCCATTGATTTTACGGAGTTCAATAATTATTTCTACTGGTAATGTGTTCATCTGCACGTCGTTCGAGCAACGATTTCGTTTGATGCGTAACTTTTTTGTACGCTCGTCAATGAAACCAAACATACATAATTATCACCTACATTACCTTCTCTTGTTTGGTAATTATATAGGAAATAAAAATTGCAATTAGGTACGTTGCTGTATTTCTTATAAAATAACGTAACTCCCTAATGAGATTTAATTTTTAAATAACGATAGTAATCATAGCATAAGTAAAAACAATTGTGTTAAAGTAATTGTCAAGTATTTTTAATATTAATTGCTGTGTTCGAGATGATAAATTTTAACTTTTAAACTCTTGTGCGTTTCGTTTTTCGATTTCGTGAATACAAATATAGTCGCATATTATAATATTTCTGATATAAATATCATGCGTTTCTTTGGCGTAGTAAATGTTGTATACAGATAAAATAGTAAACTTAATCCAAGTGAGCGATTTTTAATGATTCGTTATATTTGCAAAGGATTTTTCATGTGATTAACTGATGATTTCAACCGAACTCTTTTAGTCCGACTGATCCTTAAACTCGTTTAGTGTTCTTCTACGGCTGATGCCTCTAATATGAAAAGTTCAACGTTGACATTGTGTTAGATATACCACATACATCGCATCGCTTTCTTCAATTACCAAAGCGTAACGATTGCAAATCCTTTGCTGAACGTACAGCTTAACATATATTTTTTTTCGACATTTTATAAAACAAATTTATTTATTTCAATCATCCATGTGTTTTATGTGCACCATAAATCGAGCGAAAAAAAAAAGAGAGAGCTAGTAAGGCGTTTAATATTTTTTATGGAAATGTTTGCTGAATATTGTACAGCTCTATTTTACTACGTATTTGTGCATGAAATATTAATGTTACAATAAATTATGAGCCAACTTTAATCATATTAAGTATTCGATGTCTAAATCGTTTCACATCGTTTAAACAGAGGGTAGTAAGGCATGTTGTGCTCGTCCGTTGAATACATACGTGGTGAATGGATTCGTTTTACGAATACATTTCGGAAAAGAATAACAAATTATGTCAAGTGTTTACCAAATCGAAATTAATAGCCGAACGACCTGGCGAGGCGGTATTTAGAAATATTGATTAGGAAGGAGGGGGGAGTTATAAGAATACAAATTTGCCGACTACTTTCTAAAACAAAATCCAACAATACGAATACTACTTGATTCGTTGACGAAAGCCGACTGCATAAATAAGTCATTCGTAGTTGGGGGTTATATGCACCCCCTCCCTTGACGACGGCACCGTGATCAGCTATCCGCAGAGTTAAATTCATCGATATACGGTGATAATAGTAGGTACGTTAACTGAAGACAATTTGTTTCCGCGTTGCGAAGAAGATCGTTGTCGTGTTGTTACGTGTCGGTGCGTGCCGAGGAAAACCGGCGAAAAACTCGGTGACCCGCGTGAAAGTTTTTTTGTTGCACGCGCGTTGTTCACCGCATCGGACGGTAATGTTGACGATAGAGTGTCTGGCAGACGTTTTAACGGATGTTCGGCTAATTAATTCGTTAGTTAAAAACTATCATCAGAGTGCCGGTACGGGCCCCCGCGTTTTCGTCTCCAGCTCCTAGCCGTATGTGGCATTCCCATTCTGTGCACGGTCACTTTGCATACACGCTATGCGTCTCGTCTCGCAAAACGACATTGTAATCAAAATTAGCTGCTGCACCGGAGACGTTTGATCGCGTATTTATTAACACGGCGCTATTGCTGCACATAATTATCGTACGGGTACAGCACGCGACTACGAAAATAGTAAGAAATCCGTCCGGGCCTGTGCACGCAGGAATCATCCAAGAGGGGGAGGGAGGCTACAAAACCATACATATTACGTTAAGTAAGAGGTCGATAAAAAATATACCATCGAAAATATCAGAAATCAATAAATGTCGACACATGTGTTATTGATGAAAACACGTTCCATCGATGGTTGCATTTGCAACGATAATCGACAGTAGATGGAAAATTTATCGGAAAAAGGCGCAAATCGAGAAGGTTCGCTCTGTCAAAACAAAAACGGACAGCTATACTTGAATTTTCCAGTTATTTTAACTTTTATACAACGAAGATTACATATATTCTTAGTAAAAATGTATGTGAAAAGATCCTCAACGGAAGAGGTTATAAGTTATAACCTACACTCCCATCCCTTGTGCACGGGCCTGATTCCATTGGTGAGTAATTGATAAAAGATATATTATGTTTACGTAAGAACCGACAACATCAAGGGTGGTTAATCTAACTCAACCTGCCTCGGCGATAAAAGTTTTCTGCTATGGTTATAATTGTTATTTGTATTTTATTACGTAGTACGTATTCATTTACGTCCGTATAATGTAAATACGTAGATTATATTTTCGTTTCATTTTAGGGTACGTATTTGAATGAATAAGTAAACGGGTGTTCGGAATCATTTTCTTTAATAAATTCCAAAGAGGTTTGCGGAGTAAAGATATTTGATAAGGATAATTCGTTTTAGTGGGTTAAAAAATAACATTTTTTTTTCGATATTGTGGTTAATGTTTTATTATATTTATTGTTCTTAATTTTCTTTCTTACTTAAATTATCAGAAAAATGTTAGAATACATTAAAAATAAAACAAGTGTGTGATGTGGGTGAGGAATAAATAAGAACAGGTCACTGAAACAGATGAAATATTGTTCTTTTGAATTTGAAACCTAAGTAGAAACTGTTGGTTACGAAAATAAAGATTTTGTGCGTAGGAGGACGGTTCGATTATCATCTGTAAACAAAATATATTTTACATTATTTATTAACA